TTAACTGTTAATGAGCTCGACGTACAGATAGCAGATGGCAGATTTATCACCTGTCTGCCAGTGCAGTGTGGGAGATGGAAGCCTCTTCTTCAAGCCAAGATTTTACATTTTATACCCCCCCCCCCGCTCAGTATTCAGATCTTTTTTTTTTCCCCACTCCTGTGATGCATATGAACTCCCCCCACCAATAGCTTCTTCCATGGCCTCTTTCCTCTGCTGAGGAGAAAGAGGAGGTACAGAAATGCTGGCCCCTCCTCTGGCCACGCCCTCACGGTCACGGGTCATGCCCACAGGAGGGGCCAATCTGCCCCTTGCCTCTCTTATGACCACACCCCCTGTTGGGCCTGGCCCCTCCCCCAGACACGCCCTCGCTGTCACTGGCCCCTCCTATCTGATCCTGGCCCCTCTTCTGGCCACGCCCCCTGTTGGCCCAGACACGCCCCCCCAGTCCTCCTCTCTCTTACAAGAGCTGGTGGGAGGCACTGGTCATCTCTCTCCTGACCATCCCCGTGAGGCCGCAGCGTGGCTCTTGGGAGGCGCTGTTCCGCCTGGCAGCTAACCAATCCCAGCCCCGTCCCCGGGGGGGCGCCGTATCGCCCGGTTCCTCATCCTGGGCTCGGCTGCTGGTTCGACCGCCCACGAGCTGGTGTGTGGGCAGCAGGCTCGCCTGGCAGCCTTCCGTCAAGTCCTGCTCGGCTTGAGTTCTGAGCTTTTCCATTCCGAACTGCGGAAGGCACACGAAGAGAAGGAGTTCTTGCACAGCGTGGGGAAAACGGGCTTAATCCTAGTTGTAGATGCGCAGAAGCTCTGTGGCTTTGTGGTGGTATAGGCTTGGTGTAGCGCACACCTTCACTGGATTGGATTATATTTCATAGCATAAGACCCAACCTCTGTAATACTCTTAAGGCTTATAACCCATTAGTGATGGTTTTTATTTTGGCGGAATGATGATAGTTCTCATAACCCTGATCTTTATTATGCTTCTAAATCTAAAACGGACTTCTGGTCCCAAAACCCATGTAATAATTTCAGTGTTGGCTGTGTGTTTAATGCCTCTTGGTGTTAAATGTGCTGTGTAATGAACACCTCTTTGCTCGGTCGGTTGGATCAATAGTCCTGAGAGGTTCTGAGTGTCGTAACGTGTGTGTGTGCGTGCCTGTCCACGCTCGAAGACGACATTCCTGGCTTTTGCACTGGCAAAATGTAACCCCCCCCCCACCTCCAGGGGGCGCAGTTCTGGCGGAGTGTTGCAGCTGTGCGAGCAGTGCGCGTCCCCTTGCGCCGAGCGCTCGCTCGCCGTGCTGCAGCGGAGAGCCACTCGACCGCGGGAGAGAGCCGGCTCTCGGAAGTCCTCCGCGTGGAGTGGGCTGTTGAGGGCTGGGTCGAGGGCTCGCAGGAGAGCCTGCTCTGGGGGGGGCCGGGCGCCGGTGCCATCCAGCCGAGTAGCCTGGCGGGGGGGGGCCCTGTGTGACAGGAGAGAGAGATGCGCACCAGTTCCACGGCAACAGGCCGCGCTGCCCGTGCAACGGCTCGGTGGGGGGAGGGCGCTTGGATCGTTTCCCAGCTCGAACCCCCCCGGGCACCCGGGACGCCCCGGAGTCCAGATCACGACGCGAGCTGTTCAAGTCCCCGGCCAGGAAACGCCAAGGCTGCTTCGAGCCTGCGCCCCCTTCCGCCCCGGGGGTCCCCAGGGCTGTGCCGATAACCTTTCCTTCGGATTCCGGGGAAGAGGCCCGGGCAGCTCCCTCCAGCAGGCAGGCAGGCGGCGCTCCGGGAGTTTCGGGGGACTGGAGGGATCGGAGCTGTGCGTGTCGAGGTTCTTCCCTCTTGTCAGTTCCCAGGCTCAGGCCTGCTCCCCGATGTGTGCCTGTAACACAGCTCCTGCTTCACGAAAATCACGCCTGGCCCTCTGGGAAGGGTTGGTAGGACTGCTAACCCCACTCCCACGGGTGGGACAGGCGGGCCGTGGGGGGTGTCCACTCCCACGAGGGGGTGCGGATTCCTGTCCCAGTCCCCGCTCCCCCGGGTGGGCCGGCGTGCGTCGTGACCCGTGTGTGCTCTGTCTCCCCCCGCAGGTGGGCTACGAGAACGCGGGCACGGTGGAGTTCCTGGTGGACAAGCACGGCCGGCACTACTTCATCGAGGTGAACTCGCGCCTGCAGGTGGAGCACACCGTCACGGAGGAGATCACCGAGTGAGTCTCCCGCACCGCCGCCGGGCTCTGGGGGGGGGCGGTCGCCGAGCAGCAAGAGTGGAGGTGGCTGTGTGGTGGGAGTCACCTGGCTCCCACTGGGCTGCAGTCTGATCCGCTCCGGGTTTTACAGCCTCGCTGTGCTCTCCCGACACTGCAGTCTGATCCGCTCCGGGTTTTACAGCCTCGTTATGCTCTCCTGACACTGCAGTCTGATCCGCTCCGGGTTTTAATGGCCTCGCCTAGCTCCCGCTGGGCTGCAGTCTGATCCGCTCCGGGTTTTACAGCCTTCCCAGGTTCCCGTTGAGCTGTGGTCTGATCCGCTCCGGGTTTTACCAGCCGCTGGTGTAGCCGTTTCTGGCACGGAAGCTGGCGTGTGAGCCAGGTGAGGCAGGCAGATCCTGAAAACCCCTGACCTCCTGTTTTGCGTTTGCCGGGACAGATGTGGATTTGAGGCGGTATTAAAAAAAATCACACTCCGCGTTTTTTTTTTTTGATCCTGCCTCAGCGGAGGAATTGTGAATCGGATCTCGCCGCAGCTGGTGAAGCTTGGAAAGGATCCCAAGCTCTGCACGGCAGGGAGCGCGGTCTCTTTCCCTGCGGCGTCTGGCCCCGGCAAGCCCGGCTCTCCCTTCCCCGCTCCCCTCTGAAACGTGCGAGGGTGTATTTTATTGGGGGGGGGGGACAGACGGACCTGCTTGACCGTCCCTGTCCGTTTCCACCCGTGGGCTCTCCGCGGAAGAGCCGGGTTCTGGCCTCGGGAGCGAGGAGTGGGACGCGGAGGAGGTCTGGAGGAGGAGGGGAGGGGGGAGAGATCGGCCGCGACTCTCCTGCGTTTGGGGGGGTGTTTTTTGCTGCTGCTGTTAGTTATTTTGAGTGGCAGCTCACGCCTCGTTAGGAGCGCCTGCTAATCAGCGTTGTTTTTTTTTCCCTCTTTTCTGTATCTAATTAAACGCAAGGCAGGGAGAGGGAGGGAGGG